TAACCAAATGTTGCCATTATAATATTGATGGATTTTATTTAGAGGAAAAAAATAAAGTAAAAAAGAATGAATTTTTAATTAACAGATTAGCCGAGGAGAAGTGATAAAAGTGATAAGTGAATGTGTAAATGTTTTTTGGATTTTAATAGAAGGAAAAAAGAGTAGAGAATGTTAAATTATCTATTATATTTAATTAATATTAGTGAGAGAAAGAAAGGATTTGAAAGAAAGGATTTGAAAAAAAAAAATAAACAAATCAAATGTAATGCAGCGTATTAAATAACATGCATATTTACAATGTATAGAAATCTAAATTTAAATTGTATATACATAAAAATATTATTAATATATATATATATATATATAGATAGAGAATCTCGTTAAAAAAAATTGATATTTAAAGTCTCACTATAGAGAAACAAAACATCAGAAAATACATATAGAACATGTTCGACCATAGAAGAAATGAACTTTAAACATCATAACATTTTGTCTTTCGTCCTCTTAATAATTATTAAATATGATTTTTTGGTTGTTCAGGCTCTCTTTCTGAGATTTAAGATTTTAATTATTTAGGAAATTTATTAACGAAAATGTTCGCTAATAGTACACATATATCTTAGGCGATCAGCATGAGGTCAAATTTCGTTCACATGACTCAAGTATATAATAAAAACCTCAAGGTTTAATAAAAACCTAAGCCTGTTTGGATTTTAATTACTAACATTTATGTCTTCGCTTTCATAAAAAAGTTGCCCATTATGGGTTTATTTCAACCAAAACTGGGTGTCATTTAATCAAACTTTACCTGTAAATAATATGGCTTTGTATCTGTTTATTTTGTTATAAAGTCAAGGTTTAGTTACTATGTTACTTTTAAAACTTTATTTTGGTCTACGTTTTTTTAAAATATTGTGGTATGAATAATTTCATAATTTTTTTTTTGGACCATGAAAACTCATACGTTACACTGACCCCTTGTAGTATTACTGCAAATATTAATTAGCAAAGAATAACCTTCTAAATAAAAAGAAATTTCTGTCTCTATTAAGCAAAATAGTTTCTCCTTTCCCCAGATAATTTTTAATTATATATTTGTTTAATTGACTTTGCATTTGAAGAGAAATAAATCAATTATTGAATCCAAATAATTAAATCTTATTTCGTAATGGATTTTTCTCTGTGAAACAATTCTTCAATTAAAAATATTTGATTTTCAAATGTTATCAATCACATGTCATAATCCTGTTATTGTAATAATTTACCATTCGCAATCTCATATATTATTTTTTTTCGAAAATATGGTATA